CAGCTTTCGTCAGCGGTTGCTTCACATTCGCTTGTCTTCTCTTCGGATGATCCAGTTGATTCCGGTGGTGGAAAACCGTGATTTAGCGTCATATGCACATGTAACGAAGAGCCTGAAACATACGGTATTACTAACAGGTGTAGCGGTAAAGTAAAGGATAAAAAGGATAAGGTCTTCGTCATTGATCGATCCTTTTTGGGCTGCACGTACTCATCTTCCATTCAGTATCGTAGTGGCTTATTGACTGCGATGTGCCTACACAATTACTTGTGGGGATCAGATTTCAAAGTCATGCTCTTATCCTCCCAGACCAATATCGACGAATTTACAGTCCCCAGAGAGGAAAAAGGCTTGTTTGGTCTGGGTGGGAGCCGATCCATCATTCGACATCCAGACCAACCATGGTGAGCGTGCCGCTTGTCACTACACCATCTCCGCCTCAGCGGTAAAGTAATAAACAGTAATATTTCGCGTATTCATGAATCCCCCTTTGAGATGTTTCATGCACTTCTAGAAGTCGTAGAAACATTTTGAATGCCGCTATAGAGTGAATTTTCGTGGGCCAGGCGATGTACAAGCATACTGTCACTTTTGCACCACCACTTCGAGGACACCTAGGGGGGGGGGGAGGCGGGGAGGCAGAGGATCGGTGGCAAATTGTTCCTCGTCGAAGACCCCCCCCCACCCAAATATGCCGTCGACACTAGGGCGAGAGAACAAACATTCTTTATATTCAGCTAGCGTAGAACGGGAAAAATCCGCAGTTGTAGAGAAACTCGCTACGAAAATATCAATTACACATCTCCACAGTAAACAATGAACCTCTGAGATGGATTCCCCTGTACGTCTGGTTCGGCAGGTCAGTACCAAGCAACTCATACTGACAAATACGCCCCCCTTCCCCTCTGTTACGAAGCGAAAGTTTACTCTCCTAGGATAAGGAAGTAGGTTAAATTCCATGTAAAGTGATAGCAGCTGTAAGAAACCAGCTAGTCACTCAGCGAGCTCGTTGGCCTGCCTTGGCATAAATGCCGCAAGATGCAACGCCTCCCTCAGAATTTTCTCGCTCTCTAGAACCGCAGTCTTTTTCACATCTCATCTACTATCATTTTCTTCCCCGCTCCCATGCTACATTACCATTTTCTAGAATTTTCCCAAACTTCCTATTTTTTCCACGTTTTTTTATATACATGCAACTCCTACCTTTCCTCAAAACTGTCCCTCGTCGTCCGGGTAAGTCAGGGTGAGGGACGGCAAAGGGATGTAGTGAGTGAAAGGCGAGATGCGAGAGAATCAAACATCTGACAAATTTTTCACAAAGCACTTTACGACCCTGTTCATCCTCACGCCAAATAGCGTAATCTCTCACTAGATGCCTCAACGTAAGACGTGCCTATACACATAGAACAAGGCTTCGATGCAAGGTCTATCACTCTGATTACAGTTCTCGGGCTTTCCGAACAACCAAGATCCGATCCACCCCAATTGGTCCGCGCTCATTCTTCCGTCGATCCATGTTTTAGATATTTTTTGAGGATTTAAGTCGCAGTGGTGATACTGTACCCTTATAATATGTTCTTCGTAATCCCCGTGTTCAAAAGACTACTAGGACCGACACATGATGCTAACTTGGTTCCTATCATTTATAGCGAATAGTAGGAGAGCAATGGGCCTCGTTAGCGAATATATGTCTGTCACACTATTATACTTATATCTGAGAACAATTTTTTGAATAAGTAAAAGAGTATATGTTGTTCATAATTTGTAAATTTTCTTACAGTTATCTGATATTATTTACGTTGATTTTTTTAGCTATACCTCTATAATACATAGTTCTTTAGTCGATTTTTATATGGTGAATGAAAAGTCTCATATTGCTGTTTATTCTGATTCGCTACTGTTGGATAAGCAAGATCATATGCTAGAGTTATTGATTGCGCAGATAAGATTTCACACCAAAGTTTGTTCGGATCGCTTTTTTCACAGTTGGATCAGGGTTAAGAGTGTTTATAGTATTTGCCTCAAGACTGTCATAAGAGAATCATTACGATGCCTCAACATTGTGAAACGATCATTACTACTTCACCTCAGCAGATGGATATGACGACCGTCAGCTGGAATGATGATGTGTACACTTGTGGGCTGCGCTGGCAAATACATATACCGCTGACTACAACAACAGCTTAGTTACTGCCTAGAAGGTTTCAGAAAAGCTCTTGCACTCCTGGAAAAACTTGGCCCAAGAAAGGTAAAACTAGCTAACCATAGAACGCCTTTGAGGAAATTTAGTTGCCACAGATCAGAAAACAGCAGCGATTTCCACGGAAAAAGGGCGAGGGATTACGTGACTGCACTTATCGTTGACTCGGGTAAGGCCACGGCTGCACCTTGATTGACTCTTTCATGAGCAGTAAAAAAGTAAAGTGTAAGATGAACTCGTCAGTTTCCTCCCTCCTATCAGTTTCTCCCTGTATTCCGCCCAAGGGACCGTGTCACATTCAGCACGACCCTAGAATTGTGAAATTACCGAGCTTACGATCCAGCGGGTTTTTAAGCCGGCAGACAGAAGGCCGACGTAAAGGGCAGCACTCTGAAGCCTCCCGGGGGTGTTTGTGCAGATATCGTATACCCGCAAATGTTAGGGTAATAGTACCCGGTCGTAGAAGCGACCAGGTTTCCATCGATCTACCGCTACCGCTTCTTCGGTTCTCTTTCATTCAGTGATTGCTGATAACTTGTATGTTCTGCCTACCATTTCTCAAAAATAAAGCTGGTTTTGAATTATTGTCACCGAATCTTCAGCTTGTCCAACTCAATCAATGGTTATTCACAGACATACCGCTCTCACATACCCTACTGCAATGTCCATTAGCTTAATGAGTATTTGCGGACTGTTGTTGGGTTGTGCGGTTGTAGGCAGGCAGGCACGACGGCCAAAACAGTTAGGCAGCTAGTCAGTCAGTCAGGCTGTCGTTGATTTCGATTCAGCAGCTGTTCCCCCCCCCCCTCCCCGCTCGTTCGCCGGCCGTCCCTCGCCGTCTCTACAATTTGCTTATCCGCGCAACGGCTGTATAAGGGCCGCTAATGGCGACGCTTCCGGAGTACGGTCCTCCTGGGCCCCCATGCTGCCCCTCATCGATCTGCACCACCCAATTAAGCCACCTTGGACGAACGAGTTGAAGTAGCATATTTTGGAAGACTCCTCCCTATCGACTGAAAGTTTCTCTCGGCAAAAGCTCTTCTGTCCAAATAAACGTAACTACCTGCTGATTAGATTCGAAAAGTGCTTACTAATTTGTATTGAGAGATTGTCACCACGTCCTTCTTCCCAGGTCACAATATAGCCTATCCTCTACAGCCGCTCCATCTCAATGACAGGTTTCACAAGACAACTCTAATGGAATAACGGGTAGTACTTGAGAAATAGTACTTCTACGGAGAGAATATTCCAGTGCAGATACCAACAAAAGCTTGCTGCTTCGACTCTCACAATAACGCTCGAGCACCATTCTCAGTAATTGCGCGCCATTGAATAGTTGGTTCGCAGATTCCTCTTGGAGCCACTGGGCTGGCAGCAACGGCCGACAGCACAGCACACACCGAATACCCCCCACTATCCGCCTCCCGCCTCCTTCAACTGCCGAAATCGCCACCAATCTAATTTTCGCGAACTTCCGATTTTCATAGAAAAATCTTTGTCTACAAGAAAAACTGGCTGAAGTAGGCGGGCAACCGGCAACGTGGGATTGTTCATAGCAGTAAGTATCTCATTTCATGAATACAACGAGGGGAAAAGGTGCTCAGATGGCGTACAAGAGGCTAAATCGCAATATTCGCAGTCTTACGATTCGATCTCGTCTAACAGCTGCGGTCAGCGGCAAGGGGGGAGATTTTCCTGGCTCAATTGTTTTACACTAGCACCGTAATGTGTTGGTATGGATGATATGAACAGCAGTAACAGGCGCAGCGCTTCTCAACACATTGAGGGTTTTTCCCCCTATGAATTTGGATTTCATGGCTGAGGACTGTGAGTAGCAAAATGTGGGGACCCGTGACTGGAAAGTACTGTAGCTGTAATTGAGATATGTTGATGATTGCGTGTGCTGCTATACGGCATACTATGGTCTCTCTCTCATCGGCCTACATTTGCTCATGTTTGGAAAGCCCTCAGGGGTGTCAGCGGAAGAGTTCTGTCTGCTCTCACACCAACACACTCACATATCGTCGTCGTCGTCGTCGTCGTATAAACTGACACCGACGTATTGCATGCGGCTTGCATTCGTTGTACGATCAATATGCAGCCTCGGGGTCCCGCGAGACCATGCCAAGGTGCCGAACGCAGTCGCACTCACACACACATACACACACGCATACACACACATACATACGCGAACGCGCGCTGTGTGTGTGTGTATTGGACGGAGTTAGCTGGGCGTGGGCCGGTCGGACCATCGAATGTGCGCGTCCTCGTCTGCTGACGGCCGGCTTGGATCTATCGGCCACCACCACCAACACCACTGTCATCCCCGATAGACTGACTACGCTGCCACCCACAATCACACTGACTGCACAAGACATGGCCTTCAAAACCATCACCTCGGGTCCTAACCCAGTACCCCTGACCATGTCTGGACCATCGAGAAGGTTCAGCAAATCAGGGATTTTCATGGCTAATTAGACATATTGTCCGCTCAGTGTAAGCGACTAGTGTATGACCAACGATCGTCTATGCATCTGCCTATAACCCTTGAGGCGTGCAGTGACTATTGACAGGGCCCTGAATATATGTATGCCATTCCGCGCGCCCCACGGCATAGCACGAAAGTCTTCTATTCAGAAATAAATTTCGCATGGTGAACGTATTGACCGTATTTGGCGTCCTGCCAAATAACAGAAAGGTGGGAAAAAGGGGGTGAGGAAAGAAACCTAAAACCTATTGGAGGATAGCAACAGGATTCTGCACCATCCAGAGCGTTTCAGCAGATGAAAGCGACAAGTTATTACTGCTTACTTTTGCGGAAGTGTTTGCCACATTCAGAGCATTGAGTTTTGTTGTTTGTAGCATGAGGAGGCGTGCCCACTGAAGCGATTAGAGCTGCCAATGATGTCTCGCCGCCAACCTGAAACATACACTCGCAATATTTCAACTTCCAGAACACTTTCAGTACTGACTGACATCTACGTAAAGTGTTTCATACTGGTTTCCCTCAACTCACTGTATTCGCAGGAAGTGGGCTACCGTATGGCTGATCTTCGATGTATTCCGGTTTCGCAGAGCTGTATGTACCTGAAAGGAGTTTTACTGTATTACAGAGTTGTATGTGACTGAACAGAGTTGTACTGTAGCAAAAATTCAAAAATATGAGCCCATGTGAGAAGCAAAAACCTTAGAAAAGAATGTATGACACATGGATTCACATGGTTTGAATGGCAGAAATCTAATCCAATAGCTTTTACCGTCCCTTTTTCTGAGCTCGTTCAATTCTAATGATATCAACAAAAACGCTCTTGCAAATGCACATAACACTTGCAATATCTCGACAAATGCCTATGGTACTGTACGGAATGGCTGCGATTACTGTAACAGTGAGGGTACAGCTCGTGCCGATCCATCGTGCCTATCCCTCCTCCTGAGGATGGTGTATTCGGCTACCCGTAGGGCTTCGCTCGGCGTTCTCTCTCGTCTCGCCTCGCCTCCCCTCACATACACATATCCCTCACTTCCCTAACGATTACCGCCCTACACAAAAATCCACCCACTATTCGGGAAAACAACTGCCTTGAATCGACCAAACGACTGTGTGACGACCAAAGTTACTCATACGAACAAAATTGTATGTAAACTAGTTGTATACTTGTAAACAGTTGTAAAAATAAGTGACACTGTTATTGCACTGGCCAATTACAGAAACAAAAAAATTATGCCTCACCGTTTTCAGGGCTAGCGCTCGCTTCAGGGCTGTCTCGAAGGTCCAACGAATGGCTGTAGTCAAGGCCCAATGATATCAAAATCGACCTTAACAGATAAAATAGGAACAATACAAAAAAACTGTAAAAAAATAAATGAACAAAGTTGCAGTAAAAGCCACAATATGGAAAGAAACACTAACAAAACAAGCAGTCCCATGGAAATTCATAATTTCACAAAAATCCCCTTTCTAGGAGATCATACAAAAAGATCGATAATCCCGCTTACCTCTCCTGATCGTTGGTTTCTTCTTTCGGCAACACACATGGCGTCGTACCTTCAGCTGTCGTATTTTGGGCCATAACGATCATGGATTTTTCAAGGAAGTCTACAGCCGCTGGGTCCTTAACCGATTTTTTACCCTAAACGAGTCCCGTCGCAAAATGAACAGGTCCCGCCGTTCATTTAGGAATTGGCCATCTCAAAATATTTGAAAATCAAACTCACTTTTTTAATGATAATATCGTCCTTCCCGATTTGCTCATTTTGCTCTTTCTTATGATGTTTCAATATGTGTTTCGTGAGGTTCCCTAAATTGAAGCACTCAAAATCTGCATAGTAAGTAATACCTACTACTGTACTTCTTGTACAAAAACAGTACCTTTCAGTCGACTACTTTTCCCACAGTACTTACAGACGTAAGGTTTCAACGCCGTGTGTACAGATCGATGTTCAGCCAGATTCGATCGAAACCGAAACGCTTTGCCGCATATTTCGCAAATGAACGACTAAAACGAACACTCAATTAGATGACGCAATTTTGCAGACTTTTGCAGTGGTCAGTGAGTGGGTGCATGCGTGTACGGTATCATCGTGTATTTGTGTACATTTGCGGGGCGTGTTCAAGCCGAGCGATGAGCGGTTCACGATACCGTAATCGCCCGCTTGTCATGATCGTTTGTAAAGGATCTAGGAGACCAACACTGGGGGGTTTCGAGGATCGGGTTTTGTTTTCCAGTACGGTGTTCTCTTCAGCCTGTCTCTCTTCTTTCTGCATTTGCCCTCTCGACGCGCGTCGGGATCAATTTTACATGCGCGGCGACGCGAACTGACAGATGGCCAGTCGGCTTGCAATTATCGGAAGTACGGTGGTGGTAGAGAGAGGTGCTACCGATAATGCGCGCGTTATCGCGGTGCTCTTCTCACCTCACACCTCATCCCATTTCCCCTCAACCCTCATTCAGATCCATTCAACCCCCATCTCTCCCCCTCTAACCGATGAGCAGCTGCCAACGACTGCATAAGACTGTTCGTCTCATCGAGACGTGCGACTTCTTGGCGGATAGTTGGCGAGTCTGTTTGCCCGAGAATAGGTGGTGGATGGATAAGCAGCTGTTCGTATCGTTGTTTCTTCCCCCGGTCTGTCACGCTGTTAAACCTAGCCGCAGCTATTGTAATGACGACAACCAGGAGGTGAGAGGGGGGGGGGGGGTTGCCGTCAAGTCGATTTCAACCCGACGCGCCCACGCAAAAAAACTGCACCATGTTTACAAGTAAGGCTGAAGCAGCTACTGCCTAGAGATTGCGAAAGATGACTTAGTCATGATTATTCGGAACAACTGCAAAGTAGAAAAAATGCCGAGAACGGATTGATTCAAATTTATATTGAATATTCCTCTGATATTAGAGGAGGTGCCATGTATTTAGACGAGAAACGGTGCGCTTTCGTCAAATTATGCAGGCGTTCCGTGCGCCGAGCATCTGTTCAGTGACAGCTGGCTTGCCACAGGCTGTACTGTCGAGTTAAGGTCAGGTGGCATTGTAAACAATAATCGGATATAAGAACGGGGGGATTGAATGAAGATGATGAAGACAATGGTACCAATGGTACAATATGGTACGCTTACCATATAGCCTCGGTTTAGCCCATGAAGAAGAAGATGCAGAAGAAGAAGAATAAGAAGCAGAGGGAAGCGATAGAAATTGACGACTTGTTCGGTGGAATAGGGTGAAGAGACGCAATAATGCACAATTTTGTGTGTTGTGTGTAATCAAAACGAAATGAGACGTGACGATTTATAAGAGGTTTCGGCAGTAGATGTCGTGAAATTGCAAGCAATAAATGAAAGAATGAACACTCACGGAAAAGCACAGAACTCACACAAGCACACACATATATACATCTATCTAATTATGTGTGCATGTAATTGTATAGGTGAATAATCATTGAAGTGATAACAACATAGTAATTAGTAATTGTTAGGAGTTAAAGTGCGTACGTACCTTGTCCGAATGGAACATTTGTTGATGTTGTTGCAATAGCCGTACATTTGCGAACGTTTTCGGGCATTGTGGACATGTGGACGGTTCGTCAACGATTATAGATGGCATTTCAGCGATTTCAACCATTTTTGATGGTCCCTGACCAAGAAACCCTGTCGTCTAATGGTAAAATGGTGATAGGGAATTCGTAGATGAATTCCGTGCTTTTCAAATGGATTTAGTAGGGTCAGGAGGGTGCTTCTGTCCTCAGGGGTAGGATCGATACAGACTGGCGCGCGCTTGCCCGGAAGCCCGCGGCTTTACAGTGAGGGTTGCTCTAAGCACCGCCCACCGTCTCCCACAACCTCGAAAGACGACCTCTTCGATCCCTCCGCCACCACGAAACTCATGCTCATAGTTGTGCTCATGCTCATCATCCCACTAAACATACCATAGACATTTATGGTAACAAGGAGCATGAACATGATAGTTCAATGGTTTCTGCTTGCTTTTATGAACATGTACTTTGGTCAGACGGAATTCGCAACACATCATACATCAGCCCGAAAAAAACGAGCAGCATGACGTCTAAAGCGTCTTACGTTCATTCTGAAGAAAAAAGTGTTTTTATGGGAAATTGACTATTACAGAGATGCATCAGAGAGTCAACTATTACATACTTGTAACGCCACCGGAAACCTATGCAGTAATATTTCATGTTAAACTATTCAGACTTCACTCCTCCGGGAACATCTGAAGATTAAAGGATAAGAATAAGTCTTCGCCGTTGATCAATCCTTTTGTGGGATGCGGCACGCATTCTACTTCCATTCAGAATCGTAGTGGCTTATTGAATGCGATGTGGCCTATACAATGACTTGCGGTGGCCAGCCGATGTACAAGTCAGTGTTTTATCCTCCCAGACGAATCTGGTACCAGCTTGCCGTCCCCGGAGGAAGCAGGCCTGGGGGAGGGCCGACCCAGGATTTGATCCCTGGACCGTGGGCGTGGTAAGCGTGCCTACTTACCTCGGCGTCATCTAAAGATAGACTCTCGAAAATACAAACCTAATTGGAAATACCCCCCCCCCCCTTCTAGCTGTTCTCTAGCAGAAATTTGAAAAATCACTTTTATCAGCTGTTTACGGTAACCACTACATTAGAGTCCATGGCCAGAAATCGGCAAGGATAGCCGCAACTTTGGCTTGACGTTGACTCTCAACCTCTCTTTTATTCATGTTATCACTTAGACGCCAATGGCCACATCCTGAGCGCCATTTCATCCACATGGCAGAAACGTCCAAAAAGCCCAACTGCCCTCAAGGAATCACCAGGCACCTCACGGTTGGCCCCAGCGTTTCTTCGATTAGCATTAACTTGAAGCGCCAGGTCATCGCTCAGCCAAATGCTGGCCGTTGAAGTGGTTGAGTGGAGTAATGAGACACGTACAGCCGCGGCTCATCGGAGGTCGCAGTCAGCCGCCTCTGAGAATCGACAATGAGCGCGAGTTGTCCTTACGTTACAACAGACAATTGTTATCGCGGCTTCTTATTCTATCACTGAATTTTGGTAACGGGTCAATATCTGTTTAGTTTGTACATTTACTATATACAGTAACGACTTTGTCTAAGGGTTAACACATTAGCATAATAGGGCTGCTAGGTTTTAGAATTGGGGTCACACATTTTGCCCACAATCTAGCATTCTTGCGATAATTTCGCGTCAGCGGATAGCAGCTGTCATAAAAAGGTAACAATTTTGTCAATATGTAATAACAGTAACTTCAAAGTTACCCATGAGGAGTTACCCCAAAATTTACTTTTCTGTTTTACAAAAATGCTTTTTTTCTTGGAAATGGTCACATATAAATCGAGTATCACGTAAAATAAACTAGGTGCACTACGGGACATCCATGCTGTAGCAACCCAGAACATCAGGAATTGCAAGTGGTATCGCGTGCGAGGCGTTCGCATCGGGACCTAATTGATTTGACGTAGAAGTAGTGTTATATGTTCCAATCAACAGGGCGTGGCCGATCTCGGGATTCCCCAGTGGAGGGAGGCCTCGTATTCTCTTTTGAAGAAACATTTACGGTTCTTGACCTTTCTCGATTTTTCCTGTCAAGTATGACATATACTCCCACCCTGCCCGCCCGCTCTAGGGCAGTTCGTGGGAGGAAGAACTAGAGGATCTGGGGGGAGCAACTCTGTGAAAGTGGTAGGAAATTTCCAGAATGAGGGAAAATGGTAGGTAGGATGGTAGAAGGCATCAAAGGAAAAAATTTGAAAGAGGGCATATTTTACAAAATTTGTTTCACAAAATTTGTTCCGGCAGGACGTGCTCAGCTAAATCAACATCTAGAAATTTCTCTGCTAGGATTATGTCGGCTGATGGCCGGAGTGACTGAAACCGTACTCAGTTTCCGTTTAGATACTGAAACTGTACTCATTTAAAAATTCCATATGTACTGCACGTATTTCGTAATTTAGTCTGAGTAATACTACATTGTCTTTTACCAGTGAACAAACTGCTCATTTGCTATTCTCGCTGCAATGGAATATTTGAGGCTCCTCCTCAATAAAAAGGATCCAAGATGTTTCTTTCGTGAAGACGAGCAGAACAATCCAGGCCTAGAAGCTGTCGAGCTGAAAGGAGGGCGTTGAGTGCTGAAGTTCTGAGGAGGCATAGTTTTCCAAGTATAAAAAATGGAGAGTGGGGTCATACAAGGATGGAGGGCAGAGAATTTCGCCGTTGATCAGTTTCCGCTTTGGAATGGGTCATGCATTTTACTTCTTTTAGAAAATCGTGGAAGCTTCTAATGAAGATAAATCACTTACACTAACCCTTAGAA